TGGGTTTTTTTCAGGTTGGCACATATGTACTGCTTGTCAAAAGGATTCCTTCTACATGTGCTATACATGTCCATATTCTGTTTGTAAGAGATGCGTTAGAAGCTCAGAGTATGTAGTTGTAAGGGAAAACAAAGGATTCTGTGGAATCTGCATGAAGACTATAATGCTTATTGAGAATGCAGCTGAAGCTAATAAAGAAAAGGTACGACAATCTTTCTGCATTTCTGTTGCTTTCCCTTACTCACAAAGCTGGAAAGTAAGTCTTAGTGGAACCTGAAATCCATTTGAGAGGCCTTCTCTTACTATATAACTGGAATGTACAATTTCTAGGTTCAGGTTGATTTTGACGATCAAGGCAGCTGGGAGTATCTTTTTAAGATTTACTGGGTTTCCCTTAAGGAAAAGCTATCTTTATCGTTAGATGATCTTACCAAAGCAAAAAATCCATGGAAATCTTCTTCGTCGACTGCTTCTAAGAGAAGAGCTACTAGTCGGGTTCTTGATAAGGATGATGGCAATTCTCCTGGGGTTATGAAAGCAAGTCGTGCTAAACTAAGGAAAATGGAAGCTGTTTCTTTGTGTAAATTGGGCTCTTCTTTGGAATCAAACAGTTCTTTGGGTGACAGACTTCCACCATTGACTAGTGCTGCCGCCGCGTGGGCAACAGATGAGCTCTTGGACTTTGTGGGCTATATGAAAAACGGTGATATTTCCGTCCTATCAAAGTATGATGTCCAAACTCTCGTGCTAGAGCATGTGAGACGAAATAATCTGCAAAACTCCCCGCAGAATTTAGAAATAATGTGTGACCCTAAGCTTATGAAATTGTTCGGGAAGGAGCGAGTGGATCACGTGGAAATGTTAAAGCTTCTTGATTCTCACTTCCTCGATCAAGAGAGTTCTCCGGTTACAGATACCTCAGCCAGAGGAGTCACTGAAACTAGGTCCTTCCAGGTTGATGGAAGCAGAAGCTGCAGTAGGTTTAATACATCTGAACAATGTCAAGAAGGAGAGTCACAGCAATTGAACGTGCACAATATTAAGGTTGCACCTTCCAGTTTCGTTAGCAGAAACCATGCCGGTATAAAATCTGAAACAGGTGACACTCTGTCAAATAAGCCAATTGATGGCTTGGACACCAATATGATATGGTTATATGGAGATCCAGATGGGAGGATTCATGGACCATTTTCCTTACTGAACCTGCAACAATGGAATTCAAGCGGGCATTTTCCGCCTGAGCTGAGAATATGGAGGTTGGGTGAACTGCAAAATAGCTCCATACTTTTGACTGACGCTTTGAGTGGGCAGTTCCATAAAGGAGGGTCGCTTCAGAACCATTCTGTCCCCCAGCAGGAAGTGACAGCTACTATAGCTAATGATCAAAATAGGAGTGTGGCTGCTGCTAAACTAGAGAGAAGAGTTCTTGACTTTAGCCCCAACTCAGTGTCCACTGACCAGAGTGTCATTTCTAGTAGTAACAGTGTCATCACAAGGAGCTCAGATGCGAGCAACAAAGGCGGAAACAATTTTAGCCACACTGTGCCATTGGATTTTACTCTTTCTAATGAAAGGGAGACTGTAGGTTCTGGCTCTCTCTGGAACCAAACGAAAGTTGAAAGTCCTTTGGTTGGACAAAGCCCAATAAGCTGTTCGCTTTCGCTGGCTACATTTCCCAGAAACTCAAATTGCTCTGTACAACAGCATGAAAGATGGAATGCTGGTCAAATAGACGCAGATGGAAACGACACAGTAAAGAATGCTTGCAATCAAAACGGTATTGGTCTTAGTGGTGCGGGTGAGAAACAAGTAACGGCTACAGTCCAGTCGTGTGGACAAAACTGGAATGCTGCTACTCCAAGTAGTGCTTCAAATGTGTGGGATTCTAACTCGGGTTTGGTGTCTTTCACAGACAATCAAGAAATCGACTTTCTAGATCTCTTTAGTCCGACCTTCAAATTAAACTTTGCATCTACGACCACGGATTGGCAACCCATTGTAGCTGGACCTGACGAATGTGATGAGTCAGTCTCAGATCTTTTAGCGGAAGTCGAAGCCATGGAGTCTCAGAAACGTCTTCCTTCTCCAACTTCAACATACAATGGTCCTAGAGAAATATTCCACCACTCCATTAACGATAGCTTCAGTCCCGCAGAAGGACATAGCCCAGCACTTGATGTAAGCAAAGGTGACTCCATGAGCTCAACAAACGATCTGCAAATGCATTCGCGATCTAACAACGCTGTGCATTTTTAGCCGTTGGGGCTCGAATCTTGTATCGGTTCCATATAGAGAGAATCATAATCAGGGCACAGGCTACCATAGGTCATCAAATGTCCCCGAAAATCGCCTAGTCTGATCGATGGTGGACTATGCCCTCTTTTCTTTTTTTGCAGGATTATATTACAGAACATAAATAAATGGCGA